CGCTGTAGATTTATTTATTTCAATATCAAGTACAATTCTTTAACGCTGGCTTTTCGTCGGTCTCGTAGGTATCTTTGCCAGCCGTTCCTGACACGAAGCCTTGTTGTTGTCTTTTCAAATACCTCTTGTCACACAGCTGACAAATGGCTAAGATAAGAGGACTATACCCCCGGTGCTTTTATAAATATGCTCCAAGCTATCAGACGGGTAGATGAAGCAGGGTTTTACTAATTGCAGGCTATATTCTATGTGGTTTTAAGAGCAAAGTCTTAATCTAAAGTAATCTTGTCTTAAACAATGCATCAGATTCTTTGCATGTTTTCCCTTTTGCCCCATCATGGCCACCTTAACGTCTGAGCTCCCCTGTCGTAATGTTTCATGTCACAAAGCATTAATATATCTGCGCGCCCTTTCCATAGATACATGCACACGCACGCCCATACCGCTGTGCTACGGACCGGCCTGGCCTCCCTAGGCGTCACCGTGGTTCTCCAGCAGCGTAGCTACCCGCCTACATTTCCTCAAGGAAAAGGTCACACTGGCCACATGACCTGCTATTTGAAGGGGACCAGGTGGGTATCCAAAGCAGGCCAGGCAGCAGACAATTACACCCCAGGGAGATAACATCACATTTACTGAACTCTGCTTGAGTGACATTCTGTTTCTGTTCGGGCGCTTGCTTGTAAAGATCCACTTACATGTTTATGGTCAGGAGGAACTAGAAGGAACAGATGTCTGACAAGGTTCAAACTTCCATGCTAGACTGTTGTACTACAAACTATGCAAGCAGTAAAATGGAGGACAGCTTCATCCTGCAAAGGAAACAATAAAAGTGTAGATACTCTGTGTTCACCCGTTAAAGAAAATCAGGGGTCATTTGACGGTGGGTGTCGAGGGTGGGCAGGTCGACTTGAAAAAACCCTAAGTGGCTACAGGGAAACTGACAGCAAAGAGGCCGAAGGTCAAGCTTGGCTGGGTGATTGGTTAGCTACGGTACATTCTCTATACTCACAACCTTTCTCTCTCTACCATCAGTCCCTTCTCTCTTCTTCACTGCGTACCCTGAACTAAGTAAATGATTATTTTCAACACTGACTGAACTTGTTTTCATTCAGTTGAATTGATTGTTTATGTGTAAAGTAAAAATTGCACATCTCAGTTTCCTGGAGCCTAAAGTAACAGCTTATTGCTTGCTCTGTCCAACCCCCAGTCTAAAAACAAAGATGTATAACAACATAAAGCAGAGAAAAGCAGCACACCCGTACACTTCAAAACCTAGAAGAGCAAATCTTTCCTTGATGAATGACTTAAATGGTTAATCAATAATTAAAATGTGGGCTGCAACTATTGATTAATCTTCTGATTATGTTCTTGAATAATTCTTTGGTCTAAAAAATAGAGAAAATGCCCAAGGTGACATCCTCACATAGCGTTTCATCTCCAAGACTTAAGCAAAAGATTTTCAATTCACTATCATATAACACAGGGGAAAAAACAACTAAACCACATTTTAGAAGGTGTAGTTAGGGAGTGGTTGACTTGTTTGGTTGAAAATGAAAATAGCTGCTCATTACTGTCTGTGAATCAGCTAACTGGCCAATCAATTAACTGACTAATGGCTTTGGTACTATAACAACTAAAATATGGATGTGACTAACTGTTGGTGAACTGGGTTTGTTCTGTCACTGCAAGCACCTTAAGAATGTGTCAGTTTTTATGACTCTACTGCCCATTCTGTCCAAATGTTCAGCTAGAAGGCTAAAATCTTCTGTTCATGTTTTAGCAAATCAAATCGACTCTGAACCCCGCTCATATCCATACAAGGTCTGGAAACCACAGCTGGCCACCTCGACCACGTCAGCGGCCGCTGAGTGTCTCAGCATGTGAAACCATCCAGAACACATGATAATTACGCTTATCAAACCACCTCACAAGATAAGATGCCGCCGACGCTGAAACCTGCATACCCTGCCTGCAACAAGACCATGTTTGGTGAGCACTGCTCCACAGAAGATCAACACTAAGCACCGTCGAGCTTTGGTGTACGCTGATGATGGCGGGTGGGGTTGAGCAATGAAGCAGGCATGAGAAGCCAAGCTCGCATCAGCACTTCACTCGTGCGAATCAATGATCCACTGACTCACATACTACACTGTGCAAGGCTGGGGGGATGCTGCTGCTGTTCAGCATGTGAGAGTCACACCGGCAAGGCTGTTAAACTTTGGCTCACACAGTTTATGGTTACTTTAGCGTTACTAAGCATTTTACACTTTAGACAAGGGGAACTTTGTGAATGATTCTGCACAGAGGACTGGGCTGGGAAAAGTGCTACAAGTTGAAAACAACATGTCAGATTAATGCAGGTTGTACTGTGCTTAAGTTGCATTTGTGACCAGAAACAATAAGCTATCAAGCTCAGAAATCAGTCATATCATGGTTTGTGTGACTATCCACACCTCCTGTATACACAGTCATGGGTGTGATTGCACCTATCCACGCCTGTTTCTATATGTGGGTGTGAATGTGTGTGCACGTATGGTACAGTCGCCCCAAAACATGCTGCTACCCTGCATACAACACACATCATTAGACCAAAGATAAAGTGGTGCTTTCCAGGCATACATTAATCCAGCTGAGTAGATTTAAGCCCCTGCCAGTCTGGACGGCTTCCAAACATTTCCACCACCATTACCTTCGTCTGGCCATTACTCTCTCTGCCTTTTACACAATGCAAGACACACGGCCTGTCTAGTCCCTCTGCTTGTGGACACCACAGCATTTCAAGCGTCTTGCAGTGGGACAGTGTCCTAGAGATCCAACAGAGTAGAGCTACCTTTTGACTCTAATTTTGGACTCTGGTTTATGCTTGTTATTTTTAAGACAAGCCAGTTACTTGCTTGATTTGTCAAACATAAAAAAATTGCAAGCAACCATTTACCAGAGCCCAAGATGGCGTCTTCAGATTGCTTATTTTGTCCGACATCCCATACATCAGCTGAAACTGTTCAGTTTAGTTTTATAGAAAACAAAGTAAATCAAAAAACTGTCACAGTTGAGAAGCTGAAATCTGTGAATTGTGGTTGTTTTTTTCCTTGAAACATGTTGTAACTTATTTAAGTGTCTCTCTACACATTTTGCTGACAAGCTAATTGATTAATTACAGCACTAAAACAAAGTGATCAAATCGAGTAATTTGTGATCTTATATTGAAAAATTAACAATTGTCTTGCAATGTCTTGTCCAATTTGAATAAAATGCCAAATCTGCCTTCCAGCTCAAGCAGAGGTGTCCTAGTGTTGAAACAATTTGCTGGTCAATCGTTCAACAGAAAACCATCATTAAATCATTTGTTAACCAAAAACATGCATTTGCTGGTTCGAACTTCTCAAATGTTTTTGCTTTATTTGCTTTTAGGAACTGAATGTTTTGGACTGGTCTGACAAAACAAATGCCTTGTTGAAGACTCTGGGAATATTTGTGAAGATTTTTTTTAGTTTAAAATGGTAAATCAGTTCACTGGAAAAAAAAAAAAGAGAATTGGTTATTCAGTAATGGCAATAATCATTAGCTACTGCCATGGAGTCAGGTAGTGTTTGTAGAGGCTATGAAATAATACTAGTGCAGTACTGTACTGTGTACATTAACAAGGTCATGAGGTGAAAGCAAAGCTCTCCATCAGGTTTCCAAGAAGTCAGCCCTTCACTTCATCTGCGTGGTGCTACAGTAACTCCCTGCATCCATAGCAGCCTCAGTGGTGGACCAAATGTGGTCTCACATCAGGCAGTTTTTGTTTGGCTCTTCGGTTACAAAGTGGTGATCTGCATACTGAGCCTTAATCGAAACACTCCAAGAGAAATATCTGATAGAATCTGATACAGCTTTCTTAGATCACTTGACTGAAGATGTGCAGAGCTCTCAAACAACAAGTCTGTTGTCTGAATAAAGATATTTCTGTGCCAAAGAAACTCACCCCATACAAAGAGCACTGCTGCGTACGTATTTACCAAGAAGGAGATATTATGGATTCGGATCATGCAGTGTTTACAGAGAAGAAGAAAAAACATTGCTACTAACCAGCAGGTTAGAGAAGAAATACATTTCCACAGAAACAAAATGATTACCTCACATTTTTTGGACAAACATCATCATTCTCGCATGTTAAGACGAAGTTAAGCCATATTTGTAGAGAGGTCGCTCTTGCTTAATGCGGTAAGTCTGGCTTACAAAGAGTTATTGCCTACATGTTGCAGCAGTTGTTTGAACTGCAACTGCTCCCTCAGCTTCAGTAAAAACTAATTCAGCCTGGCTCAGAATTCCCTTTACTACTGCTTTTCAGTGTTGTGTGAAGTCTCAGTGCATGGTACAGTAAACCAGAGGTGGCAACACTTTAAGTCTGTTGTCAGGTATCTTAACATTATTGTCAGTGTAGTCCTGGCTTCAGAGCTATGCCGGAAATACTTCAAATATCAGGTTCCAACTTGATCTTAGGTCATTCTCATAGGTTTCCGGTGTTTGTTGTAGTTTACCTTACAGTGTTTAAAGAGGAAAAGGGACATTCCTGACCATAACTTGGTTACAGTATGATGTAGGTTTAAGTGGAAGAGAGGAAATAAAGATAATATGGCAACAAATGAAGGAAAAAATAGACGTCAGGTGCACAACATTTTAGTGCAAGAATGATATAGAGGCTACTGCATTTGGGGAAACCCAATATTACGTATCATGAGCGCACCATACTGTGGGTCTAAGACGCTTCTATAAGAGTTGGAACTTTTGCAGAGTAAAAACTAGGTTACAACAAAAAAAAAATGCTACAATAGCACAAAAGGAGGCACGTTAACAACTATAGCAACATTATAAGGAGGCCATAAGTGAAAGCCTGGGGTGTGGACGACAGAAAGTCACTCCCTGAACAACAGCTTTAGGCGTGAATCGCTACTTAAAGATGTTGCGGGTCTTGGACCGAGCTGTCAAACAAACGCACTAGGCGCGACACGTACCTCCTCTTCGTGGTTGGTGAATTCACTCTGCTCGTTTTCTTTCTCGATTTTGTTGTTATTCATTCTGAGTCGGACTCTTTAGCACTTTCACTCGGACCGTCTTCTTCCTCCTTCGTCTTTTCGTCTGCGTTTTGCTCTGCTCCTCTTCTCCCGGACCCACAAATTAAAAAGGCACCCTCCGACAGACAACAGTCCGCGCACGGCCGCTGTCCTACTGTCCCGAGCTTCCCACTAGTTTGGCGACATCAATCTGGTGAGAGAGGATATTTTGTTTTAAGAGGAAGAAAGTCGGCTGTGGGTTTGGTTTCTGTGCTGTCAGATATTCCTCAGCATTCCCTGGAAAGATCTCCGGAGGCTGTTCCCAAATGAAATACAGTAAAGGCTCACCGGTGTGCGCCGCAGGGAAACTTCTCTCCTCATCTCCGTGTGAGGGAGGGAGGGATGGAGGAAGGAGGAAGGAGGGGTTTGGGGTGGGGTAAAGGGTGGCTGCACCGTCTGCTGGGCGTTAGGAGCCTCTATCAAGCGCACCAAGAAAATCAGTGCCAGTCACCTCCTAAGCAAGATGTGTTTTTTTGTTTTTGTTTTTTGTCACTATAACAGTCCTGCAATATTCTGTGTTGACTTATGCATTTATTTACTTTTCAGAGCAAGAAATACTGAGGCAGGAGTCCAAGTTCTCCTCAGTCAGCTCATCCAAGACACCAAGTGAAACATTTTTGTAAACCTAACTGTATTATTATTTGGATTTTTCATTTTTTTGTTTATGCTGTTGTTCGGTGAGAACAGTTGCTCCTTACCAGGAATACAGTTCTAGCGAGGCTGGCCTTTATTTATTCATTTCAAGTTCAGGAGTAGCTCATCATTCTGGGAAATATGTTTAGATGAGTTACAGACAGGTGAAAAAAGGAAAAACCAACATGGAGTGTAAGGTGTTGGGCCACCACACTCCACCAGAACGGCTTCACTGCACCTTAGCATTGATTCTACGAGTCTCTGAAACTCTACTGAAGGGATGAACACCATCCTTCCAAAATGTCTTAATGACTTTTTAACCTTCAGACAGACCCAGGCTCACTGTGTCCCTTCATTGTTTATGCTTAGCTAAGATAGCCAGCTACTCGCTCCATCTTAATATTTACCATAGGCCTACACATATGACAAAGGCATCAAGTAAAGAAAAAAAAAATCTATATTTCTCAAAATATTGAACTATATTTTTAAGCATATAAAGTTTTTTAAAAAACGCTGAATTCTTGCATATAGTCTGCAGTAGGTTTAGTAGAAATACAACATTTCAATCATGACCAAACCTTCAAGAAGCACCAAAGACTTGCATTTCTAATAGTGGTGACATGCACCTGTCTTCCAGGTGGGCAGCAGACAACAACATTCAGTTTGATATTAAATATAAAATACTGGGATCAGCTAATTAAATGCCCCATGTGCATATTTGTAACAGTAGAATTTAAACTCCCCTCAAGTTTCTGTAGCTTGCCAAATGATGAGATTCTGAAATGTTATATGATCATATATCTCTGTTGTTGTTATTTTGGCTTCAGGCTTTTGCTGCAATACAAACCTAATACAAGCGGTAACATGTCCCATTTATTTATTTATTTATTGTATTTTATGCTGATGGTGTCTGCGGATGGAAAGTAGCTGGCACTAAACATCTCTTTGCTTGGAATCAATACCTCATAAATGCATTTATTGCGAGATTATTACACTGCCTTTCATAAACTATTCATCTAAATTATATTTAAATTGCATTTATCTGAGCCTGGCTGATAAATGAGTTAAATTATAGCCAATACACAACAGTGTTATTTGTGCCCTGATTAGCAATAGGTCATGCAGAATACATGACTCACACTGTAGATAGTTTTGTAATTTATTGTGGACTTGTCATCCCATTCAAATTAAAGTGCATGTCTTTAATTGTTGTATATTTAACTGGCTGCTCTCTTGGGAGTAATCCAGGTATTCCTGTGTGTGTTCTCAGTTAAAGAACCACTTGTTTTCTATACTTTTACCTGGTTAATTTTTAACCAAACACTACATACCAGCAGGTTCTGTCATACATCCGGCATCACACGGTGTCTCGTTACACAACAAGGTGTACCTCTTGTCTCGGCATAATTCATCACTTGTGAAGACAAAGCAGGAGACTGATAATTATCAACCTTATTGTTTATCCAATTTCACATGGCTCTTAGCTGTTCATTTCAAGGCCCTTGAGTAGTTTTGTGGTTTCAGGCAAATAGTTCTCTGCAGACATCACTGATGCAGCCTGTTTCTGCAGGTTGTGGATGCAAAGAGGATCTGCAGACAACACCTGTAAATGGTTCCAGATTGGAATATGATAACACTAATCTACTATGAGCTCACCCAAGACTATCTGATTTATGACCTTTGGGTGGGGAAACATCCAGGCACTGGAGTTATGGAAGTGATGTCTCAACAAACAGAGTTGTACTGGCACATCTTTTGTTGTCTACAGTCTTGAAAGTAGCGATCAGGCGACGAGGCAGCCTTGAATACTCCCGCATTTCAAAACATTTATTTTGAGCAACTGCTACACTTTGTACTTTAGGACAGAAAGTTCAAGAGCTGTCACTAGCTCAATAAAAGAGACTTTCGCTGTATGGTTGCATGACATTTATCACACGGGACAGACAGTCACATATTGTGGCAGCAAGTCATTCTTGCTGAACTTGCACCTCAATAGCAGCAAAAGAAGGGAAAACAGTCGCTGTGGATCGGTCATAGAAATGCACGCTCTTTCCCCTCTTCATTCATGTCTATAACAATTACACTGCATCTGAAGCATAAGCAGTGAAGAAGGGACATGGCAGATTCTTTTATGCTGAGGAGAAGCAGTTTGGGATGAAGAGAAAAGGAGGAGGATCTTACTCTTCGAAGCAGATAAAAATGGAAATGTTCCCCTTGCTGCTCACCACCCTGAATCAAAGCTTCCTGCTGGAGTCTAGGGAGTAAGGAGGGGGAGGAGAGGGAGGAGGGAGGAGGAGAGGAGGGGAGATGTCCCAGCTGTGTTTGACAGGTCTCAGGGCTGCGCTGTGTGGTCTGATGCTCAGAGGGGGAGGGTGGCCCTCACACAAACACACACAGAGGGGGTGGAGGAGACAGAAGAGCAGCTAGGAGACAGTCTGGTCACTGTGTTTTGGGTAACATGTCAGCAAGCTTTGACATAGTCCAGACTTACATGAAGATATCTCTGTTATCTAGGGGACTGCTGCTTCAGGAAAACGCAGCCCTGTCGTATAAACCGGTGGATGTTGTCTCTGTGAGGCCCTTTCTCTCTGTGACACCGGCAGTAAAGATGTCAGAAGATAATTTAAACACTTTTTCACTCATCAGGAATTTATTTCCTCCACAGTCACACACTTAGCTAACTAAACACATTCAGGGTAACAGGCTAATCCAGCAACATTTAACCTACACACAACTTATAATGCAATACTCTCTTCAGAAGTTAAAATGGTATAATCCCTCCATGTGGGTATATTAAAATCTAATCTGTTAATTCAGCCCCCAGAAAAAAAACACGGTTTATATGGTGTCGTGTTTGTTTAATCTGTACAACAGAAGTGTAAAAACGTCTTCTTTTCACTGTGACGCTGCAGCTGATTCTCTTTCATGTACTTTGGTTTTTGTGAAGCTTAAACAAAAGCGATAGCAGCCACTTCATATGTATTGAGATTGCTGGTGATCTTCTCAGCAAAAAGCAAATAAGTATATTTCCTAAAATGTCAAACTATTACTTTAAGAACCAGGCAACAAATATGTATTAACTGTACTGCAAGAACCTCTAGTGAAACAGGACGCAAATCAGAATGCTCCATACTCTTCTGGATCACTGACTCATAGCTAAAAGGCCACCTTGATATAAACATCAAACAACAATTTGTCATGACACAATGCCGATGTATTGAGCAGCGGTGGATCCCTGAGGGAGAACCCGCACAGTTCTTGCAATTCGCTCGATCTGTAGCTGAATGACTCAGAGTGTGTTGCCTTGTCTCCTCCTCTTTGTGCACTCTGTGCAAATCAAACGCCTCATCAGTGCACACCACGGTTGCTGAAATCCTCCAAAATAACCAAAAAGAAAAGAAGAGAGGGAGAACAAGAACAAGGTTGCGATCCATCAGGAGGTCGTCTGTATAAACAAGCAGGCCTGCCTGTAGACCTGGCAGCAGCAACGCACCTCACCTCACCCTTGTGAGTGATGTGGGGTAGATGGCTCTGATTGGGCCGAATGCATTCCTTTGAATTACTGATACGTGGCATTCCTCCCTTATGCTTAGTGCAACTTTGATCTTCCTCTAAGATCACTAATTAGTAATTGCTGGTCAGACTGACCTGCTCTGACTGACTTTTTCAGTAGCTTCTTTGCCAAAAGCTCTGTTTACTCAACCTGTGTGACATAAAAATCACATTAAATAGCAACACTAGAACTTCTTTTGTCCATCTTTTGAAGTGGTGTCTGTAGGCAAACAGGTTTCTGATCTCAGAGATGCATTTTGCTGCAATAAATTCAGAGACTGATGATTGACAGCCATGCTAGCTGTTCTTTTGGGCTGTACACGTGACACATACGTGGCATTATATAATTATATTGTGTTAACTCACACAACGGCTTTTAATCTGCTGTTCTGTTTGGCCAGAACCTCACAATGTAGACAGGAACTGACCAGCCACTGTGTAGCTGCTCATACTGAAAGCACGGAACCGCTGATTGGTTTTGTCAATTGACAGTTCTCATGATGTTTAATCTAACAAGATGACTGTCTCCCCAGCAATGCTGACAAAAAGAGATAAAGGCAGCACTGCTTTCTGTAATTCTACTATGAACAGAGAGCAAGATGAAATTAAAGAATATTTTGAAGCTGAAGTTATCCAGACACGTTCTGTCTGTTCTGCAACAACGTTCAGTTTAATATCGCAGCACAGTCTCAGTCAAGACCACAGCCACACCATGTAAAATACTACTCCCATAATATAAAAATAAGGAAAATCCAGGGACCCCTGAGAATCCATCCTCTTGTGACCATGAATGTCTGCACTTAACTTCATCAAACAGTTGTTGAAATAAAAGTGATGAGCTGACCATCCAACCACCACTGCCTCCCTGAGAGCCATACTGCTAGTTTGGCTAAAACCTTGAGCCACATGCTCTATCCCAACAAACTGGAAACCTTAAATCAGTTAAGCTAAACACTACCTGTTTCTATCACAAAGACACTGTGCACAAGCTGGGCTCATGTCAGTGTACACATTGTTTCTCTCCGCTTACTGTCACTCACCACATACCCACAGGACAAAATGCAAGCCTGCGCCAGGAAATAATCCCTCAAGAACATTTGGGCTTACAAACCTAAGTGTCTTTTTGTTTGGGCTATCTTTGTTATCTGGAGCAGTAGCTGATTTCAGGTCAGGTTTCAAGAGGGCCAAAAAAATTCTAATTATTGAGGGGATGTGTCTGGCAAAAGTACTGGCTTGAGTAAAATCAAGTTAATTCCTGATGAGTTCCTGTTGTTCTTCATGTTTCCCTTGCTGGATACGCTCAGAGAAAGAGAATGCAGGGGCTTGGTGATTAAACAGGTTGTATTACTGAGTAGTGAAGTAGAGTCTGCGTGGGCGTTGTCGTCACATGCCACCGCGCGTTAAATCTGACATACCTAGACAAGGAAACCGACCTCAAACAAAAAACAAGAAAGCACCTTTCTTTGCTCTTGTATGTGGAAAAACCTGCAGCTGTGCCAAGGTAGAGAAACACAAGAAAGAGGCCGTGTCATTAGTTTGAGCTATAAGCCTGTATGGATCAGTGGGTAGAGCAGAGCGCAGAGGCCACACTAAGTATGTCTTCTAGGCTTAAATTCCCAATTGTTGACACAGCACTGAGTAATGGACTATAATGTTCCCACTGAATGCTGTACACAGGTGGCCCTAAAATGTCTTGGAGGAGATCAAAGGCAAATACATAAAGTTATATGTTCTTTTTTGTTGGGCAGTGGAACCAATAAAAAGTTAAATTAAAACCTGGCTCCCGAGGACTTTGTCTTTCCCATCACCTTTATTCTTTCTAGTCAAAAAATAGTCCCGCTTTGCTTCATACTGCAGAATGTGTGTGCAGGACTGTTATAGTGTATTGACCTTTACTTCGAGCACTTTTTAATTCCCTATTGTCAATCTTATTATGACTCATAACTTTTTTCTTTTGCCACATCTTAATTATCCTGACAGGTTTTGTCACAATTTGTACTATCATGTTATTAGTATTTATGATATTGTTTTGCAGTAAGGAAAATAACATTACCATGACAAATACTGTAGTTGTCCATGCCAGCTATGCATATATACAGCTTATATGGTGCAGCCTACTGTACTTTTTTTTTTTTTACATTCTTTTCTTGTTAAAATAAAACAGCGTGAATGCAGGAAGAGCAAGACTAAGGATTTACAGCAACGCCTGCAGCTCTGTGAGGCTGTACTTACTGTATGTAAATGCTAACGTCAGCACCAACATGCTCACAGTGGCAGAGCTAACATGCTGATGTGAAGCAGACAGACTGTTTATCATGTCCACCAACTTACAATTTAGGATGTTAGCATTTGATAATTAACTGCAACCACAAAGTGCAGCTGGTGATGGTACTGTCAGTGGTTTGGTCACATTCTATGATATTAAAACAAATTAAAGTTACAGTATGTCAATACTTTTGCTGTTGAAGCCTCCTGTGCAGAGATATTAGCTTCTAAAAGGTTCTGAGCAGGATCGATCTCTCAAGCTAATCAGAGATTTTCAATAGTTTCTGTTTGATCAATAAATTTGGATGCATTCTCATGTTTTGTAATTTCACAACACCACTTACAGTACCTGAAGAGCCGGGCAGAACGTGGCAGAGCATAATGGAGCAGGGAGAGGGAGCGCTGGGCGGAGCAGAGTGGATTGATTTGGAGTTTCATGCTAGTGCTGCCTTACGTTACATACTGTAGCGTTAGGTTAATCCTAAAAGGGGCTTGAATGAGCGTGCCAAATTTTAATAGACATTCATCCAATAGTTATTGAGATCTTTCACTCAAAACCTCAGATGTAAACATCATGGTACCACTGGAAAAAAATACCAGGGAACTGTCTAAGTCATTAGGATTCAGCCTGTAAGGAATATGGACCAATTTTCATGATAATCCTTCTAACAGCAGGTGAGAATACTTCACTCTGAGTGGCGGGGCATGCAGCTGACTGATATCACATCCACAGAGCCTTTATGGTTAAAGAAGGCATGTCATCCAGTGGCTGTGTCCCTGTTGTGATGGAATTAATTATTTCTGTGGGATTGCAATGGAGATCACTATGGCCCATAGGTCACATTTAACATTTTAAGAGGTGGAGTGAACCTGGCTGCAAAGGTTAGCTGTCAGAAAGCCTTTATCCTTCCAAACCAGCTGGTGGCCTGGCTGCAGTGGACTACGCTGGGATTTGAACTGCATGTGCTGCTGAAAACACAAACCACAACAGAGCATCAAAAAGTAAGAACTTATACTAAACCTCCTCCACACCACACACATTTTTTAAATATTTAGGTTGATAAGTTTCAAAGGGGTGGAGAAACATAAGTTGACTTGTGCTTTGCTCAGTTTTACAGCAACCAATGCTGTATTGAAAGTTAAAACTACTTCTCTCTTTGTTTATAATAAAATATTGACTCTTCAGAGAATGCTGCATACTGGAGCCAAGGCAAAATAATGACTTCAAATAATCCTATGAAAAGAAAAGCAAATACAACTGTGATGTAAAAGTCAGCTTTAACAAACAAGCAGGAGCTGGATAATTCAGTTTCACAACAGTACAGTAGGGAAGAGGTATAAATAACTGTTTCCAAATATAGATCAATATTTGAACTTCCTCTCAAATTCCTGCCATGACTTGCTATCACCACAGCCATTTTGCCTTAGTAAAACCCCTCCACAGCTTAAAGGCCACACTTGCCCTCCAAGAGGTGCTTGTCAATTGGCACATTCGTGCAGCTGTTGCCAGTATCTCTCTTTCTTGACACATTAGAATAAACTGGCACTTTGGCAACACCCCAAAATAAAAATTATGGTAGTGTGGGTAAAAAAAAGAGAGACAAAGAAAGTGAGAACAGGAAAAAGCCTAGACATGACTCCGGCTGCACTCCGCTGCTGAAATAATTAGCCCCTAGTTGATGCGGACTCCTCGTGGGACTCCACTTTGACATGTTCAAATGAGTATTGGCAGCGTACGGCACCAGCTGCGGGCCTCCTACTGGGAGCTGCTGTACTGTGCAGCAAGCGCCCTGCCCACCAAGCACTACACCCACCCTGAAGAGCTGCAGCGTTGTCCTTGAGCTTGGTTTACAGCCACAAGACAACTCTAAACAACCTTGAACCTTTAAAGTCAGTTGTTTCAGGCAGCAGTGTACCACTGACTCCAGCTCACATGCATCCATCCACCCACAGGGCACAATCCAGACACATCCTACAGTAGAAGTATAGTTACAACCACACCCATGTCAATTACAATATTCCCACTGTATTCATGGCATCAGCTTGACAACCCTTACTGGAAGGACACAAGTCTGAGAGCCCACAGACTAACACACACTTTTCAGGCATCACTTCTGCTCAGTAATTGCACTATTTAAATGATAAACTAGCATATAAGTGACCAATGCGCGTGTCATTTGTAGCACCTACTTTCAGGCCACTAACTTGTTTTATATTATTTTCAGCACAAAAGCAATTAATGCAGATATTTGTAGCTGTATTATTAATAAATAGCATTTTAACTGGATATTTTGTATCGCCTGATGAAACAAAGCCTTCAGAGCAGATAGCACAAAAAGCCGATCAACAGTGCCTCCTAGTGGTCACAATATATATAGAAACATAGACTACAGCCTGGGAACAATTAAAAACATGGCTCAGGATAACCGGTTAACATAAAAATGGCACAGTAAATTTATCCTATAAGGTCCAAAATATACTAGAAATAGTCATAACATTGATGTTAAACTGGAAAACTGGAGGAATGTTGTTTTCGCCAGTGTGTGCATTTTCAGTGTTAAAGGTCATCCATGAAACATAAGGGAGCAACATTAAAGTAGCCACAGGTGCATGTTGAGCTTCTGATGTCTGCGTGTGTGGGTGCTTTGGGTTGCAGGAGGTTTTACTCCTCTGGATCCAAGTTAGCTTCTCACAGGCGTGTCGCTTCCCTTAACCGTCTTCTTCAGGTGGTGGTAGTTGGGGAGGATCTTCATGAGAAAGTCAAGCTGCAGAGTCTGAGACCGCAAGAGAGAAATCCATCCCTGGTTACAAAAATCTGTTTACTGGGCAGACAACGAACCTGGTGACACACAGGCATACACGAGCACCGGCGGGGAACTGACCTGTGGCTTTTCACTCTGCACACGCCTGATGCAGTTCGAGCCATACACAACCGTGTTCTCCGGCACAACCTCACAGCTGTTGATGTTGCAGCAGGCGCCGATGATGCAGCCACTACTCAGGATCACATTTCTCCCAAGATCAGCTGGGATTTAATATTAGAAAAGAAATATGTATTAGAAAAACACAAAGAAAGAAAAGTTGGGCTCTGGGATGATATGAACTGATTAACTATGAGATTTTAGCCTAGTCTAATGTTGACAGTATACTTTGGTGTCTGTCCTTTCGATATCTCGAGGTGTATTAGACCTCTGTATGTAATGCTGCCAATCAATGAGCAGAACCAATTCAATTTGGAATTTGTATATTTTCTTCACAAATAATGTACCTTCATCTCTCAGGAATTTGCTGTATTAGCCAATAACAACCATCAGTGACTGGTTATTTTATCACTAAACCATTTCTCAACTGATTGTTTGTAAGAATCCGTATCATTATATGTTTTGACACTGATATATAAACTTACACATACCATGACAGAACATTTTACCCATGCTGCACACTCATAATTTACAAATACAGTATGCTAGCCACACTTACCTTTGGACTCAATCACATTTTTGTCTCCAATTTTTAAAGCTTGACAGACTGTGGTAAAATAATTAAGGACCAAAACTTATACATTTGCATATTTTTAACAGTCACTACAAACTATAGCCCGATCAAGACATTGGCTGATATTCATTTTTAATAAACATGTTATATAAACAATTATTTATATAAGGGTGATGATCAATTAAATTAAACTGTCATCAATAGATGTACTGAGCAAGACATCTTTAAGTTGAAAAATGAAGGTATCAGTGCTCTCTGGCAACACTTTCTAAATTTCCTGAAACATACACTAGTTTACATTTTGGTGTCTCACTGGAGACATTTGTTATTATCTATCAGATGGAAAAAATTCACACATATCTAAAATACTAAGCTCTACTGAAGCCTCACATATATTGTTATTTTAATTGCAAAGGATACCACATCCAACTTCAAACACATTATTGGTCCCAATTGTCATGGTCTTTGGCTCAACTCCCTCTGTGTCTGGCATTATATTCTCCGGATAACTACCGGCAAAACACACAAGATGACTGTAATAACCAAACAGGGGAATGAGTGAGAATGTAAGGACACATACCTGTTAATAATAAGTGCCTGTTCCTCTATTACATTCCCCTCTCCAATGATAATAGGCCCTGCCTCTGCTATGATCCGCGCTTTGGGGTGCACAACTGTTCTTGCACCTATAAAATGTAAAAACATATATTTGTGTACAGCGTTTAATATCTCTGCAGCTGGACAAAACAGATAAAGATGCATTTGCTGTGATTTTAAAAGCGACGGCTCACCAATAGTCACATCTCCTCTTATTTCGCTTTCAACACACACAACAGCTCCAGATGCGATTTTAGCACTAGAAGAACAAACAAAAATTATGTTAAACATTCAAATCAGCGGTGCACTGCAAACACAAAAGCGACATCACAAGCTTGACAGCTGATAACACAGGTTTGCCATTACATGTTGATCACGGGTTGTCACTAATTACAACGTCTTCATAATGACTGTGTACACGAGTGTCACCATCAGTAATTTTGCAGGATTATTTATTATAAAAACCAACGTTTCCTGATCGCCCGCACTGTCCCGAAAATGACCTCACAATATAATCGGTTATCGTCCGTCTGTCTACCTCTTCTGTGCCATTATTTGCTTGGTGGCGTCTGACATTCATGCGATGATGAATTGATGCATCGATAATTGATTATTTATCCTAGTTCAGAGACGGCGCTCAGGTTTGATTCTGTTTGCCTGGAAACATTAACTGAGACTCTGCTGCCCTCTACTGTAACTTAAGGATACTGCAATGTCGTTTACCGCCGATATACTTCATATCAACTAACCCGTCTTTAAATATCCATGTTATTAATAAGCTTATCTTATTATATTAATGAATTTGGAAACTGCAAAAAAATTTAAAACATTTTTTCTTTCTCACAACTAAAAGTCTTTTGTTAATATTTAACCTGCCTACCAAGAATTTGAATAATTATATAAAAAATGTAAATGAATAAAATTAAGATTAAGCGGGACACAATACTTTAATTTCCTTCGGCAGTTCATGATTTAGTCCTCGTTCTTTGCGATTTATCTTATATTAGAGAATTCGACTTTAATAAAAATACTGACCACTGTTATACTGCATTGATAAGCTACACATCTGTCGGCGCAGTATCCCCTCGTCTCCTGCAGGGGGCAGCAACTACCAGTGAATGGGAACATGTTCATTGGTAAAATATGCCTCTTAAATTTACTGTAGGTAAGGGGAGAATCCGTCTTAGAATATCACAGGTCAGCTGACAGGCACCTTTCTTTATGTTAAAACAAAAGTGCAAGAAATTCACTCAGTTTTCTGGATGAATATTCTAAAGGTATGGGTTTCTTCTAATAAGTAAACAGTAAATAAAAACGACTCTTTGACAGCACTGTTTGCACAGGTTAGAATAACTCGGACAGAAAACTAATCGCAGGGGATCGATTCTGTTTAGACCTGGCTCATCTCAAAAGCCCGTTGTCTGTTAAATGGGATCTGAGTCCTTTTAAGGGAGCTGCAATTCACTAGAGTAAAACCGGAAATTAAAGATTCTCCGTTATCAGATTAAAACGTCGACTGAAAACTGAACAAAAGGCAGCGCCATGCATTTGTTTTCTTTATCAAGTTGTCCTCAAAACGTCGCAACCTATTTAAATGTATGTGTTTAATTGGCTAAATAATGACCAATAACTTTCTAAACAAAACTCAGGCTGAAGAGGTTTGAGAGGTAGAAAGTTATAGGCTAAGTCCAGTACATAAGAACAATTTTGAGGTACTTGTACTTGAGCATTTCCTTTTTATTATACTTTAATATTTCTATTCCACATTTCGGAGGATAATAATATACTTTGTATTCCACTACAACAGCTGGGGTTCCTACTTGAAGCATCCAAAAACACTTGCATTCAGGTACCAGTCTCTCCTGGAGGCATGGCTTCAAGTCCCTCCTCTGACAGAAACTTTCCAAAGTTTCCCTTTGGGGATTCATATAGTATCTAGCTGGTAAAGGTGGAGCTAAAGTTAACTATCTTTTATGCTTATAATTTTAAATAGGCTACAGCTAGTTAGCTTGTGAATGTCTCACCAAAGTTATCTAATAGGTGCGAAGGAAAAAAGTCCAATATTCATCCCTAAAATGTAGTGACATCAAAGTATGAAGTAGTAGTAATACTCTAGTAAAGTATAGATAGCTCACCTCTGTACGCTGGTACAGTGACAATCCCAGGTAATTACATGAAGTAGAAACCACTGCTTACTTTTTACTGCTTTTATTTTTAAATTCTCCAGCGGAAGCACGGAGCGTCACTGTATCTGACTTGACAGTGGCTGAGTTTTGAAGGAGAGCGACTCTTCTCATCGATTCCTGGAGCGAGAAGTGCGCAGCGGACAGGAGCGCCCAGCCCGCGGTTCTTAAATACTTTAGCCTGTTTTCTTTAGTTAGTTTACTTTAAATTTATTGAATGTACTGTAAAATGTGCACATGTAAATAAATAGTCTATATATCAACTGACTGACATACTGGATAACATTTCTTTTCTGAATGGGAGCGCAGCACGTTCGGGCTGCGTGGCTAAACTTCGTGCGTATAGCTTGTTTCAACTTTGTGGAAATATGTAACTGTGCCAAATGAGACTGTAACATGGAGCAGTCGGATACTCTCGACATAGAGTCGCTGAAGGTAAGTTTACAAGCATTAAAACTGTCCATTTGATATAATTCTATCAAACAGGCACGTCTATCAGTAAATGGATAACAGGTCTTATTTTAGCAGCGAGTCTTGACCTCGGTTTACTGCACAGACGCGTGGAGACTTGGTGCAACTGTTTATGAATTATGCCATTATATACTGTGCTGAAGTTTGTCGTGAGTCCTCTGCAACAGGTGCACCCACAGCTTTCAGTTGTTCCATTAAAAATCCCACCTAATTAAAGATGCGTGTAAACTGTGTGCGCACTGTCGGTCTTGCAGTGGTTGCATTTCTCACTAGGCAGGAATATGATGATTAATAACCAGAGACCAACACTTAAACGCCTCACGAAGCCTGCCTGGAGTTCTTTACATATCTCCCTCTTGCACTGTACCTCATATTGTATGCATTCTCCGCTTCGAGAATCTCAGTAATGTGACAGCCTCTGAATATTCTCTCTGCACGCTTTCTCATTATCATTCTAGGCTAACAGGGGAAGCGGTAACCTCTGGGTACACTATATGCACCTCGTCTCCGTGCTGCAAAAAGTAACTCGATGTCGGAAGCCCACACAGCAGAGCTGCCGTTTGCCACGCATCCTCCCGCTGCACACACACAGCTGCGGGCTTGGGTCATGCTCATCAGTCAGGAAGTCAGTCCTGCTCTCACTGCCGACCCTGCACCTCCCAGCTTGTCACTTCCAGATGATTTGTCACGTTTAATGAGAGTTAAGAGCTGCTGTTTTTTCAAGGTGATTTTAAAGTGTCAGAATCCATTATCTTCTCTGATTGAAGCAGGTTTCATTAAGGATGCTTTGCGCGTTTACTTTGTCTTGTGGGACTCCCCCTGTGTGTTCAGCTGATGAATGCAAATGAAGCCTACAGAGCACTGTCCAAAATGGGCCCCTTGGCTCTCCAAGGATTTGCTTGGGATTAGCAAGGAAAGCTAGTGTACTGTAGAGAATTGTCGGTCTGTTTCCATCAGCAGTTTGTCGTCTCCTCTCCCTGCCAGAGGAATCATCACCGCTGGGGAAGGACCTGACAGCTGCAAACAGTCAAGCGGTTCTCCATGTTAACAAATGATACAAAGGTCAGAGGTGCAGCAGGTCATCGAGGTTTGTTGCACACTTTTGTGTCGTCAGGTACAAAGTAAAGCGGAAGTACGTGTAAGAGCAAAAGTAAATTCAGGGTGAAAGCCTCCAGCCAGCCTGTGGTGGTCAGCTCTGCTGGCTGTGTGCTCTGACTGAAAGGCTGCGACCTTTTGTTGCGCCGGACTTATTGGAGATCTTTGATCCCTGCTGCCGGCTTCATATTTACAGTGGAGTTACCCTTATGTTTTCAGCTGGAGGAAGTGCACTGCCATTCATCCATGAAGAAAGGGCAACCACACCTCAAAACACGAAGCCATTGATGAGCTCCGGTGCTATTGTAGCTCCACAAGAGATGACGGAGCCAGACAAATTGGATTTCACATCTAAGTGGAGCGACTATTGACAGAAGCACCCTCACCCACATACTCGACTGCCACATCAACAAAATGTGAAATGGTCATATCAGTGCACTGGGGCCGCATTTCAGAAGTATAATTGGCTTTTTCCATTGCTGATATGCATTCAGGCTACTTTCAGTCAAACTAAAAGACTCACAGCACTAAATAAACAGGTGCTTTATCACTGTGTGCATCCATTTGGCCTGCTTCTGCCTTGGAGATTGTGCAGTATTCGTTTGCAGGACTGATGAGTACAAGCTTTACAGTCATTAGTGCATCTGAAATGTTTTCTTACCTCCAGCTGAGGCAGCCCTGTGGGACTCGCGTAGCACCGCTGGGTGAGGGAGGGAAGGCTTGGCGATTTGCTGATTAACAGTATCGAGCATTATTAACGTCTCATTTTCTTTCATTAGTGGTTTCTCCACTGCTTTTTGCTTCCTCTGCAGCATGTCATTGTTTGATCAAAACAGCATGTAAAACATCACCCTCGATGCTAATTGGTGAAGATGAGGCATGCTGGCACTGGGAAGGGACTACTGGGTAATTGCTGGGTTTTGCTGGATCCAGCTGTAACATCTGTAGCCAGAGTTCTGAGGACCCTCCTCTGCCCCCTCAAAGGAAAAAGGAAAATGACACAGTCAGACCTCAGCACAAACTTAAAGGGACTGATGAAGTAAGAGAAATATAGTCGTGCAAAAGACACAAAGCCGTTGCCAGCGCAGTGCGTGATCTACAGAGAGAGTTTTAATAGCTTATTGTACCCTAGAGGAGCCAGTTACTCTGTGGGTGTTTAGTTTCTATTAGTAGAAACTCTGTGTAATCAGGTCTGTAGGTGGTGAACCATCTGTAGTTGTGTGTAGATTTCACACTCTGATACTGGTAACATTTGTCTCGAGCGTACTAGAACATATTTTCCTAATTTCACTGTAGATAAAGCTGCACTGTTGTGCCTGAATAAGCCGTTCCAGATGACAATCAGAAAAAAGGTTGGACTGTAAAAGGTGTTACCTTTGTCTCAGTGGAAAGAAACAGGGTCTTTTGACTTGGTCCAGATCTTTAAGAGGCTGTGGTGTTTGACGTCACCTGGTGCTCAGGACTAATGTGCACAATCATTTTGCACCAGACTGTGAATTTGATTTTGAGGCTCTAAAAGACAATCAAGGAGCTGGACTAAAGGCTGTCAGTCTTTTATCATCATTTACCACACAGCAGTCTCTCCTATTGACTTCTCATCACAGGTTATTTGTCTGAGTTGTGAGAAATTCAGTCAAAGAGCAGTTTTCTCCCTTTGTACCATTTCATTTGAGTCATCTTTTGAGATCTACAGAGTTAAAACTACACAATGCTCAATTAGGGATGATTGCTAAACTTAACTGTGATTCTGTGTAGAACTAAGTTTATTATATTCAGCTCTTGCTCTCAGGTTCGGAACCACTGGGCTGGATGATGTGACCCCACTTATCACGATAACTAACACAGTTTTATTTTTAATAAACCAGGGAACACCTTGCGGGTGTACAAGTCGTTACACTAATGGCTAACGTGGGATTCGTTTGTCCACGTGTCAATGTTGGATTCCACTTATAATTAGTTGGTTGGATTTCTAGTTGGAGAGGTTGTAGTTATTCAGTTCAATTATATGGAATTCTTAGAATTAGTTAAACATTCATGAGTAAATTAAGGTAAGAGATTTGTATTGCCTGACCCAGACAGCTGTATCATGGATTCTAGCTGTGTCCAAATGTCCCTGCACTGCCCTTTAATTGACCACTGCTCCTATTTTATAATTATCGGGGCTGTTTTCCTAGCTGCTATATTAAAAGTATTTATTGGAAAGTTTTTGTAATCTTATTTTTCCACTAACTCCATTGCTTTAATGATACTGCCTATAAAAAGGTCATCATCAAGCCTGTTAGCGCCAACATAAACTGATAAGTGCTGCTCAGCACAGTCTGACATGACAGGTTGTGATCAATGTTTCTTAAAAGTCAAAGTAGTTTGTCAGAGTTGCTGCAGTTGGACGTCTCAATCAGTCCGGCACATTATTTCAGGTCAGTGGCGGCCGGTGCGCTGAGATGACGGACTGACCAGCCCCTGTGCGCTCCTCTGTGTGCTCTGTGAATAACTGAGCTTTAGGCGGATTCCAGCATGGTAATGTATGCATTCAAACTCTTGCAAAGAAATCACAGGATCCTCTAGTGTTGGGAACAGTGGGTTGCCATAGAAATTATAAGGGCTAAAGTTTCCCCTAGCAACAGTGGATTGAAATAGACTGAATCTGTCCAGCAGGGCGATGGCTCTAGGCTAAAAGATTGGGTTGAAATTGGTTTTTCTCAGTGTTGTAGTTTATATAAGCTTTGAGTGAATCTTAAGTTTCAGTTAAGGATGGTAGAAGTGTCTTGAAGATGAGCATAAGGGTTCAGTTGTAGCTCTGTATTACATACAGTAGTGTTGTGCATAAAGCATCATCCTGTGTGCCAAACAGTTGTAGACACAAAAAAGTCTCTTCCTCTTCAGAGCGTGTGCCTCTGACTTCCAGTGCAACTGGCTCCTGTCACCTGCAGAGGTTTTCAGATGGGCTGTGTCAGCAGTAGAGGACAGTTTGTGGCTTGGTGAGGAAACAGCCACCTGCTCTTGTATGTGGCTGAGACCAAGGAGATGGTCATTGACTTCAGGAGGACCATGACTCACTCAAACACCATTTCCGTTCTTAGTGAGGAGGAGGTGGTGGACAGCTACACCTCGACAACAGAGGCTGTCTACAGGAAGGGACAGAGCAGGCTTGGCTCCTTGACAAAGCTCAGGTCTGGTAATGTGGGCAGCAGGACGCTACAAATCTTCTACCAGTGTAATCTTCTTAGCTGCTTTCTGCTGGGGCAGTGACAACAGCCAACTGAACACACCAGTCAGGAAGGCTGACTCTGTGTTGGGGACGTCTCTGAGTCGGTGATGTGGGTCATCAGAAACATACAGCTCTGGAGCCAGGGATACCTGCAGAGAGAGAGAAAGTTAAGGGTGTACTGTACAGTATAGTGGTGGCACATAAATACATGGGGAAGGGAATAAAGTTTTAAGCCTAATCTTAACAGTAGAGAAGTTCTCTGCTGGGATGATGAGGCACTATGAGACACAATGACTCTGTATCATGACAAAATATAGACTTGCTCATATTACACTTACCTTTACATATACAAATAGAAATATACTCATGCAACGAATACACTAGGTCTTTACCAGTGAAGCATACTTACCTTTCTTGTAAAACATCCTGTTTGAGCGCCTGTAACACCTGAATTTCCCTTTGGGGATAAATAAAGTTTGCTATCTGTGACACTGTTGACAGAACTTATATTCAGCCTGTGTGTAAACACCGCTCATAATGCACTTGTCCCTCAGCTGTGTCGCTGTTTTAAATTGGAATCACTGACATTTCTAGGCCAACGATATGGGTCATTTGTATTTGTTGCAAAGCCACAACATCCATTTGTGAGACATCTGCCACAAGTGACAAATGTGACCTAAACTGTTGGTCCAAGGAAACAGTCACTTTAAGAGTGGATTAAGTCGTGAGGCTCTGGGGACTTTTGTTAGATGTCATGTTTGTGGTGCAGTCGCTGGTGGGAATGATCGGGAATGTTTTCTCTGTAAAATGCCAGACAATAGTAAGAAAGACCTCTTGATTTACTATAACGTAAGGTGAGGCCACAAAATAAAGCTTTGTTAAATGTCTGAAGATGCAGGTGTTTCTGTGAATTCCTGGACAGCCTGAAGGACACACTGCTACACAATCAGCTTCTGAGTTTTAACCACTAAAGCTCATCACTTGCTTGCTCTTGCAAGAGATCAGGTTTTTGTGAAAATAATAAATGCTATGCCAGGTTGTAAACATTCTGCTGTCACTGGCGCTTTGCTTTATTCATTGCCTGTGCAAGAGATAATGATGGCAGGCCGCGCGAATTCATCCCATCACCAGCCGAGCAGACCGGTTCAGAGCTCAGACAACCTCATACTCTGTGACGGGGAGTTTCACACTGTTAGCCCGCAGTCACGACCGGCTGGAGAACAGCAACCCCTCGCCCTCGCCTGGATGACTGCACTTGACAGACATCGTCCTCTCTGATCTCAGATCAGAGCTCACATGTAGCAGCTACTCCGCTGGCGGGCACTTAGTGACTCTGCCAGATGAGAGAACATTTACTGGCATCTCCATAATCCAGCTCCTGTTTTCATCAGAAAAGCATTCTTTCATAATGTGAAATTCCATTTGGGAGGACTGTGCTTTAGAGACATCCTTTACTTCAGTGATGGACTGACTGCCTGCAGTAGCCTTCTCCATCATTTCACATTTCCCGCTGGACATATAGGTCCATAAAGCCTTCTTAGTGTGCATGGCATGTGAAATATTTTCCTGTCAAAGGTTGACGGGCAGTAACATTTTAGAGATCTCAGGCTGAGGGGAGCAGCGAACAGGACGGCTGCAGGAAGCTGTCACTCACAGGGGCTTTTCCTTTTAAGCACTGGGATCCAGTTTGACAAAATGTCAACAAGTAATTAGCACTGAAAGCAACACAGTGACGTGTTATTAAAGCCATACAAATTCATTTTCATTGTAAAGTACATTAATACAAGCAGAAATGTCAAGCACCCTGCTTTCAAGTAGCATAACCTACATTCATCATTATGATTAATTTGTTAGCATCAATGTTTGGTTACTAGTTTCTGTTTATTGACTTAAACAAGGGTAATTATGCCTTCACCCCTTGGGGCCAGTTATTCCCACAGCTGGTGGAAAACTTATAATCAGTGAATCTTGACTGATGATCTTCCTTTACAGCAGTGGAACGAAAACATCCCCCTTTTGAGTTTTTCCCTCCGGAGTGGGCCTTTTGATTTGGTTTCTCTTTTAATAAAACAAAGTCACCCGAATAACCTTGTCTTTTATATACACAGCTTGATGGATTATGCTGCTGCTGGTTCAATTTCTAAATGTACATAGGCCCAGAGAGCCCAGGTATAACATAACAAGGCTTGCAAACAATGGAAAATAGTTATTTTTCCAAAGATGCCACAGGAATCTTAATTCAAAGTTAAAAAAAAATAAAAATCTGTGCCTAGTGTACTACTGACAGAAATATCCTCTTCTCACACCATTTAATCACCATGCATAGAAGTTTCCGGCTGTAGTAATACTCCAGTTTACATTCATGCCATCATTTCACCAGTTGTGCATTATATAGTAGCACCGCCTTTCAAAAAACTGTAAAAATCACACAGCCATGCCTTAGCCCGGGGGTCGTTTTTACTGGCGCTCGCAAGGTAATAACCACTTACAATATGCGATTGCTTCAGTGGAGTGAAAATATCCTTGACAGTTAGCTAACATAAAGGCTCCTGTGTGTTTGCTTTCCAGATTACCCAGGAGCAGTTTATCCTCGCGTCCCAGTCCCTTCATCTCCAGCGACCAGGCAGCGATGCCGTGTACTCAGTGGGCCTATATGGCTGGAGGAAACGAGGCCTCTATTTCTTCCTGCTGCTGCTCCTGGTCACCATGATAGTTAACCTGGCCCTAACTGTCTGGATCATAAAGGTCATGAATTTCTCAGTGGTGAGTACGGCGGGGCCTTCTCCAAAACGAGGCCGATTTCATCTCACTAGCTGCTGTTTGTTGTGAGACAACAGTAGTTCAAGCTGTCCCTGGTTAATTTCTTTACATTAGGTTAATGACAACATGTCCTTCCTGAGGTTTTACTCTGTAAAATGCCATTTCTCTATAGTCCAAGGTGAAAACATCAAATTGCTCATTTTGCTTGACCAAACAATTCTGAGTTATGCAAAACCAAGACGCGCAGCTAATCCAGGTATTTGAGAAACAACTACTAAATGTTTGGTGTCTTTGCTTGATGAATGACTTAGCAAAATTTTGATTGATTTTCTGTCAAACTGATCAATCCACTATTCATTTGAACGCAAGAAATACTGTTAGTATTTAATGCAGAAATGTGACAAACTCAGAATTTTAGACACAAACTTATCACTGCAAAAGATCTTTAGTTTCAAAAAGCAAATAAACATAAAAAAAGACTTTAGTTGGATGCGACTGTAAAGCCAATTCCTGCAGTCCTAACAGAATTCAAACTAATATTAAAACAAGGCTTGAATCGAGGCAAAATGTATCAAAAATACAAAGCTCAGAAATTTGCAAATGTGTTTGACGTAAAAACAATTGTAAACAATAAGAAGTTGGAATCCAGTGCACAGTGAGACAATGTCAAAATAAATGGGAGACAACACCAAAAAATGAGGATTTAAAACATACAGAGAAGGATGACAATAAGGCCAAGCAATAGACAGAGTGCTGCTTTAGGGTTTGACTGTGAATATATACTGGATAAATATATCAGACTGGTTTATTATCTCAAAGGTTAAAGGAGAGTTTGTGAACTAACAGGTTATGTACAGTTTTTTCCTTTGTCTTTTCTTTATTTTTTCCTTATTACAAAACCTGGTGGAAACATTTATCTACTCAGGAGTACTCGAGTTTGCAGACACCACCTCTCATGTTGCGCCTCATCTGTATTTGATAAAGAATTAGGAAAGACTTGGCAGCAGCACCACCACCAGATGACACAATGTGTTAATCTAGAACAAAAACCAAACAGGCAGCTGCTGTGAGCTCCTTTGACATTTTCAGGGACAATGCACACAATTTACCATTTTGTCAACAAAACCCTGATGGCAGTGTTCCCCCTCTGTGATGGATGCATCCCCTAACTGTTGCTATCACTCCTCTACTCCTTTGTCTCCCATCAGTGGGTCTGGAGTAAAAGACCTTAGTGCCAGAAAATCTACTTTGCTGCTCCACATCTCAGGACTCAGCAAGCTCAATAGGAAAACATACCAAACTACACCATTTTTCATTCATTCTCTACCGCTTAGTCCCTGAAGGGGGTCACGGGGGGTCCGGAGCCAATCCCGGCCGGCAATCGGGCGAAGGCGGGGTACACCCTAGACAGGTCGCCAATCCATCGCAGGGCTACTACACCATTTTATTAGTATTATAGTCAGTTTTGAGCAATTATTGTATGTCCTGATGGTTGTTCCAGCATCTACTGGAATGAGAAGGCTCATTGGTGCCACACCTAAATACCTATTTAATCCAATTTGAGCATTAGTTTGTGTATACACGAAGGCTTCTGAATCGAGCATTTCTGTCAGTGGACAGTAAGCTGGGCTAAAGGGGCCCTCCAAGTTTTACAGAGCCAGGAGTGGATCTAGAAAACTTTGGCTAGGCTGGGGCACAGACTACGAAGTAAATGAAGCCCCTAGTTCAATGAAATAAGAAATCATAGATTATTAAGAATGAAACTGCTGCATGCATGATTATATTTGTTATCAAATGAGTTATTTTAAGCACCAGACAAATGTTAGTTGTATTTAGGGGAACAATTTTTATTCATTAACACTGAGAAGCATCACATTTTGACTTTAGTAGAGGTGGGAGGTGCATTCTAGAAGTTAGGAAAATCATCCACAGTGTGCCCACCAGTGAGTAACGGTGGAACAAGACCCACTGTTCACAAAAGATGCTCAAGAGCTTTCATTGTGTAAAGGCGGTGACACCTGTGACCTTAACATCTACCAGCCTATATCCAAGCTGTCCTGTCTGTCCAAAAATCTTAGCATCACTAGTCAGCACACAGCTACGTAACTTCCTGGAGAACAGGCACCATAGTCCAGCTTTAGACCCGCTTATAGAGCAAAAACTGCTGTTGTGGATGACACCGTTATTCCCCTGATTAAAAAAAAAAAAAAAAAACGACACTATGCTACTCTTTTTTGTAAACATGTCCAAGGCTTTTGATACGTTTGACAAAATTTTGTCAAATAAGCTGCTCTCTCTGGTTTTAACATCTTTGCCTGTTACAAATCAAGTTTGCAGACAGCTGATAAAGGTGCTCCTCAAGGATCCATATTAGGCTCACAGCTGTTTATTATGGACAAAAATATTTTGCAACACTATAGTACACATTTATGCTGATGATATCTTGTATGATGTGGTGATATGAAAAAGCCAATTGGTCATCACTGGTGTCTAGCAGACATCCGCATGCCTGTGTCTTCACCTGTAAGGTTTTGCTAATATACAGTAAGTGACGATATATTTAGCAGCCTTTTGAGTTCAACTACAGACACCCATTCCACACCGATTACCAAGCGTCACAAGCTTGTAATTCTACTAGTATTTGTGACTGTTTTAATGACTATGGCCATGTGTGATGATTGTTTTGAGCCAATAAACTGCCTTATAGTATGTAGTTTATTTATAATTCTCAATTAGAGTTCATGAATAAATAGAGCTTAACAACAAGAGGCCAGGGATCAGTTGCTAAAAACTGAGCTGCTGAATTAATTTGCTTGTTTTCATTATTTTGCTATTGCCTCATGCTGTTTTATCAGCCTGTAAATCATTCTGAGACCCTTAAAAACATTACCGTGACACCAAAATAATAATGTTCACATCAGTGCAAATTTGCATGACCATCTTATATTTTTCCATGAGTCTCCTCAACATTCACATCCATGGCTGCTGTATTAGCGTGACTCTCCTCAGGCTGCCTCCCACTGCATGCAGCCTGTCACCCCAACACCGCTGAGTGTCGGTGGGATTGTCACCTCACTGCCATGTCCTACTCCCTCCCTGTCACTCAGCTCTGCTGCCTGTCCGCCATCTCATCTGACATGCAGCACATCCTGCTTTGCCTAATACATTTCAGCAACAGCGAGATTCAATTTTTTGTCATTTGGGAACCTTTGAATCAAATCAGCAGTGCTCATCACAGCATCACTGATGAGCATGACTATGTTTCAGGATGGAATGGGAAACCTCCAGCTGAATAAGGATGGGGTTCGCCTGGAAGGAATATCTGAATTTCTCCTGCCTGTCTATGTGAACGAGATCCAGTCCAGAAGGGTAAGTTGCCCCCTTTACTTTTCCCACCAACTTCAGGTTTCCTGTTGGACTAGGAATAACTGCTGAAACGAAGTACAAAGTTGCAGATTAGGTGGTATTGATCTCTCTGTTCTGAGGATGTTGTGACTAATTCAATAACAAAGGCCAACTTTCCACTGAGCTCTTACTTGATGACACTTTGATACTGCCTTGTATAGGAAAGATTGTCCTTTTTTCCCATGCTCCTCTCCTCTTCATTTCCTGTCATCCTTCAACAGTGCAATATCAGGGCCTCCCATCAGCAGGAGATGGGTAATAGGCTGCCTCAGCTTCTCTAAGACCACATACAACCCTAAAGGAGATTACAGAGGGACCAAGAGTCCCCCTGCTGGATTTCCAATCAGGCCCACATGATAAATTCCCCTCTTCCACTTTCTCTCTCCCTTTTCTTCTCTTGATGTTTAGTAGATTAACCAACACAGCTCCAGTGTAAAGATGATCCAAATTTCCGTCTCCCACACAAATCACAGATGCTCAGTTGGATCATCCCCCTTTCAGTGATTAGGCATGCTGCAGAAAGAAACTCCAAGCACTGGAAGTGGGGTTTCCTTGTGAATTTGATTTTTGAAGGTTGCTGATGGAGGAAGTGGCAAGTGAGTACAGTTTGCCTCAGCAGATTGAGAAACAACTTGGAATCATCCACTCTTGCGCTTTGATGGTTAGAGCTAAATGATGATTTAAATAATAATGCCCCTGCTCTTAGCAGTAGCAAACCCCTCAAGATCATACCTGCGTCTGCTCAGGCTAAATGTTAGACAAAGCTAGTATTTCATTACCCGTGCAGAACCACCTGCAGACATTTTTACTGTCTTGGTTTACAGATGGGCTGTGCAGTGGCCTCCTTATCTACCAGCACCAGAGGTATTTGCAGGTCAAACACCTCTATGGGTCACACTGTGTTTCTCACCTGAGGGAATATGTCAAGCACTGAGAGGAGGGATTATGGTTATCCAATGAGTTTACACCAACGTGCACAGTGCTGTTCAGTCAGATAACCACTGATCAATAAGCCATTACTAAAGCAGCAGTGAACTCTGCAGCACACTAGAGGTATCTTCAAGTTAAATATCGCATGTTTTTTATGTTCAAAGTCCAAGCTGCTATGGAGGTAAGCGGCTGAACTCAACTTCTCATGGATTAATCAGTGCTTTAAATCTTCATCAATGGCTGGAGCCATAATCAATGAATACCAAGTGGGAAATAGCTCCCACACTGTTTTTTTTTGGCTGTAAATCTTGTAGCTGGCAGCAAATGACAACAGCGCTCTCAGTAGCGAAATGAGAGCTGTTAACTTTGCACATATGGTTTACATTCGTGGGAAACTGTGCCCAACTTAGTAAAAAACAATTATATTTTAGTTTTTCAGGCCAAAAAATTTAAAAAATATGCTTTTTTTCTCCTCAGGAGGACAGACTTTATCTGAACAGACATGTCTATTGTTATGATGCTTATACAGTATTTTACATATTTCTAATAAATATGCACAATAATTCAGTGAATGAAGAAAAGACATGCATTTAAAATAAAATAGTATAAGATAAGCAAAAACAGATTTTAGTATTCTCATTGAAGAATAAGTCTATTTTCAGTTGTTGACGGATTGATAATCAATGCTTTAGACCCATATTTTGTCGCAATTCATTAATTAGGACCCAAATGTAAACACAGACTTGTAATGCTAAGCAGTTCAATAGAAAAACAAGAGGCTTACTTTGAGTCCAAAGCAGTAAAAATCAGGCAGGGAGGATTTGTCCAAACCAAGCATTGAATACAGGGGGAAAAGACCAGAGGCACAATCCCAAATGAGGCAGGGTTCAGAATCCAGCCTCCAAAACACGAGACAAAGTGCAAACACCGAGGGCTACGTCACAGAAGCATCCAGAGCACAACCCAGCAACAAAATCAAGGTAACAGGTGGCAAAGCGGGTGGAGCAGGTAGTATGAGCAGGATAATAAGAACTGGGTCAGAAATGACCAGCACCAAGACTGGGATTGTGTCATACTGGTCGGTACTCGGAGTATTATGGATTTGTTCACAGTCCTAGTCATGATATACTGAATTAGATCATAGTTATGCTTCAAATGATATCACCCATGCACAGTATAGATTATATACGGTGTTATAAAATACTATCACAGTATTTCCCACATTGTGGGGTAAAGTGCAGGGTCCAGCGCCCCAGTGTCGATGCTGTGCACCGTAGTGTGAGTCCAGGCCATAACACCTGCCTCTCCGAGCTTCTGATTTGGTACTGGTGTTTATGGGTGATGAAATGCAGAGTTAATTTCAAACACAACCTCTTTGTTATTTTTATTATGGTTGTTTGAGCTTGTGTGACTAATGTGTCAGTTACACCTGAGCAGGTGCCTGGGTGGATGGAATACTTTATATTATTTTTCTCCACCCTGGAGGCTTCCTCTGTGATTTCCATTAATCTGTCCATCCACCTATCCGCCTGTCAGCTTTTTCAGATGGCACAGCATGAAAACATTTGAATTGTTATGGAGAAAAGTCACCAATATGTTTCCAGGGGATATCCTTACTATCAAATATATGAAATCCAGTTTATCCTTGAAATGTAAAGCATATGATTGCTGCACAATAGCTCCAATTAGACCTGTGAAACACACAATACTACCATAATTTAAAGCATGTGAAATCAGTTTGATGCTTGAAAGCAGTCAAGTGACTGTAATTTCAGGCTTTTTGAAACCTGTCACACTTGAAATTTCACCTGCCAGATGAACAGTACCTTCATAATCTCAAGTTTTTGTGAAACCAAATGATGGAGCAGGCATTTCTTCCCCCTGTGACTTTCCTCACATTGAAGCATCAAACAGGGTGGATGAAATACATGCTTGTTCCAAATTGTTAGCTTCAGACTGTCTCTACAGCGTTTTACACCCCTATCCAACACAATACGTTACTACACTACCACTCTTCAGTTTTTTTCATTTTCATTTCAACCTAATGTAAATCAATACATGCTATGGTCCTGTCTTGGTCAAGAGTTAAATGCAAGATAAATGGTTCAGTTTACAATATCTATCCTTGCAAAACGCCTGTGTCTTTCATCATATTGAGGTAATGCATTGTTTAGATTCTTGGTAGAGTCTAAAAGCACTTGAAAGGACACAAGTTTTGGGTTTAGTGATTTGAATAGCTCCTGCTTTTCACATGCATTAGGGTAATAATGTCTGCTGCTGCTTAAGGACAACAGAGGTCGAATTAGATTTAATGAACAGCAGTGATACAGCTTTAGCAGAGTGGCCACTCTGCTAAGATTTGTTGTTTTAGTGTTTGTAAACTGATGTATTCCTGTGAATTTCAATCACAGCCTGTTGAGACAAGTATTTTATTTATGTTAAGGATTGCAGGAGCTGATTTTACTTATTAGATTCTCCTCTGAGCTCAGAGGGAAAAAATCAGCAGCTTGTGCATTTAGCCTGAAGCATCAGCCTTTCATTTCATTTTGTTTGTTTTAAGCCCACTGATGCAAATGGTAGGTGGACGAGCAGATGCACAGTAGCTAAGATTTCTCCACATGTAGGGCTCCATTTCTACAATAAAATAATTCTGCCTGAGTTTTTGTTTCCATCTCCAGCTTTGGCTTTATCAGCCCATTAGTGATGACATTGACAACCAGCGATGACAACTCCGCTGTCTTTTGAGATGTGGACTGTTACGAGCTATTGTTTTATTAAAACACATAAAAGCCTTTGTAAATGATACAAAATCCAGGCTAATTATTAAAATATCTAAGTAGAATTGGTCAGCTGTGATCTTGATACAACTAACGCTATAATTTAAAATGTACAGTCCAGTGAAAATGGCATCTTTGCTTTGAATGTTTGCGTTCGTCAGAAAAGAGTGCGGTATGAGGCAACACAGTGCCCAGACAGAGTTAATCAAATCTCTGCTGTTCTGACTGGTGGCTCTCGTTATTGTCTCCAGGCACCGTGACTGATCTATAAATAGCATCAGATGCAGGTGTATCTTTATTGGAGTGAAACTTCTCCCTCACTGAATTGCACCGACTTGCACCAAATCTGAATTCCAGTCTGCTGCGAGAGGCTGAAACCATCCACTTGTTTAACTTTCACATTTAAAATCAAAGCTCTTAGAAGCAAACCGCAGCGTCACACATCCTTTAAACAGCACTTGCTGGAACCAGTTTAATTTGGCCAACAGTTTGACACTGAAACACAAGGCCCTTTTAATTTGAGAAATATTAAAAATGCCTGTAAACATGTTCTAAAACAGCCTGTACCCTGCATGCAAACAGCCTGGCTGCAAGATTAGATTTTTTTAATGAGGAGATTTAGACATAATAAGCGTACTTTTTCAACTTGTGACATGTTTTCTTCATTATATTTACTTGATCAGCTCAGTATGCAAATTAGCATCTAGCACAACAACCAAATGTTATAAAATTTCAAATATGTTTATGGAAATATTTGGTTAGGATTATAGCTAAACCCGGAGCAGCATTCTTTATCCATGTTTTAAAGGTCTGCACTTTATTCTACACTCGCTCACAGACAGATAGCGGCACCGCATAACGCTGCTTTGTTTCTAAACTACTTAATCAAAGCTGTGCTCTTGCTTTTGGCTGTGATGTTATTCATTGTATGCAGGAAAGCATCCTTTGCCTTACAGCAGCCATGATAATTTCTCAGTCTGACGGAGCCCCTACAACAACACGCACCGTTTATATGCACCCACTCTGATCTGCACTTGACCTTCCCCAACAGGCGCAGTAACTAAAAAGCCTTTTATGTGATCCAGGAACGTGTTAAGCAACAGTGTCTCAGTCAGGGGCCCCAGGAAACAGTTTAGCTCCCAAATTTCTTCATGATTCCTGGAGAACTTGTTCATGATGTGCATTTATATTAGGAAAGAACAAGCAGGGAATGAAAATCGACTGAATGACCTCTACAAAGTTATACACCACACAAACTTGAGATAATCTGCTACAATTTGGGAGAACACGCGCTTAATCAAACCTATTAGGCTGTGTCATGGTATAATTATTAGCTCAAATGTGAAACTATAAATCCTTGTAACTCTTGTTTCCAATTAGTACAAAAGAAAAAACGTATTGTGTCACAAGTTCATATCAACTACTTTCTGTGCCATCAGTGGATTTGCTTGTGGAGGCAAAGTAAATTTGTCTGTTGTATAGAGTTGAAGCTTGGTTTGAACTCTGACACATGCAGACTGTCTTGACAGCACTGACCTTTCCAGAAACAGAAGGTGAATTTCAATTCCCCTAATTACATCCACGTTTCCCTCACTTGCATCTTTTCCTTGCGCCTTAGTCCCGCCCACGTAAGACTCGAGGAAAAGATGCAACGGCAATATGCGAGGAGAGAGGAACGAGGAAAAATACAAGACATCCTTTCCTATAATTCTTCCTGTGAAGCATCCAGTCACAAGCTGATTCCTGATAAAGGGTCATATCAATCCATAACAGACTTTTGTGAAGGGAGCACGTCTTGGTCATAGCTCCTCCAGGCAGCCTCCTAGCTCCTCTGTCCTTGCTCCTCAGAGCAGAAATAAAAGCTTTGGGATATCCTTCATCATGGCGGACTGGAAAAACTTCCTGGTTGATCAAGAATCAAGGAACGATAAAATAAGGGAATCGAGATTCACCTTAAGAGACATGAGAGTCCAAAATGGACGAAGCTATCTCCAAAAAAGAGGTGTGACATAGTTGCCAGTTAGGTACAGTTTGTATGGTACAAAGAGATTTAATTTATTTGTGTCAAAGCTGCACTAATCAACACTTTTATATTAACGTGTCCAACGACTATAATTTAGGCTCAGTCTCAGTGACAAATTCACCTAATAAAGAGATCTTAACATAAAGTCATATCTATAATTGAAACGAGACACATTTCTTTCTCCCTCTGTCTGTCTGCTGCCTTTCCCATTCATGCTTCCCCTAGGACAGCTTGTTGTTCTTTCGGTCAGAAAAGAACGTAACGCTGAACGCTAGAAACAACCAAGGCCAGCTGACCGGCCAGCTCACAGTGGGTGAGTCTCCATGTCTTCCTACTGACCTTTGCCCTCACCTGAAGCACACTTATGTATAGCATTTTATCTCATTTTCGGTGGACGTTATTTAAAAACTATTTTAAATTCATGTCACCTCAACTATAAATTGCCTGATCAGTCTTATGTTAATAATGACTTAAAGAGCAACAATTCATCTCAATTCTTTGAGCCTGCAAAAGACTGCGGTTTCTTCCAAACACTACCCTCTGATGCACTTATTGAAAGGGCAATGGATTCTTATTATCACCAAGTTTAATCATCAGTCAGTCCAAATTACCAGCCATTTACATGATTAATGACCACTGGAAAACAAATGACCTGCTTATTAGCATTAATAGCTATTGATCTTAGCCAACATAAGTTCAGCGCTGATGCTGATTTGACAAGACTGGTGATATGACACTTCTTGGTCACGCTCGACCTTCCTCAGAAAATTAGTGCCTGCTTTAGTAGAGAGCACATTTTGTCTGAAACGAGATGAAACTTGGTGAGAATAATTAAATTCTCCAGCCGTCGCAGCCCGTGGATTAATGAAAGTGAAAGGAGGGGAGCAGGAGAACGTGAGATGATAAGTTTCTGCATGCACATCTGTAAAAACACAGAAGCCTGGAGAACAGGAATTAATATTCCTCACCAGCGGAACAGATTACTGATTTGTCTCCATTCATGGTAAAATGGTGGCTGATCTGGCTTTGCTGGGCACCTTTTATTTGCAAAGCAAGCGCTTCACTAAGTATTTCAGATGGCTAATCATCTTACATGCCCAAACACAGTTTCATAAAGCTGACTTGCAAGGCCAGAAACACATATGTCAACCTTTAGGTGACAGCACCATTTACAACAAGAACATTATTGTTAGCATTGCAGGCTAATAAAACCTTTAAAGTGGAAATCTATTCTGTAATGTCTTTTAATTAGCAACCTAAAGTATATGTTTAGCCATAGAAAGATTCATAAGACATTCAATAATGCAGTAGAATGAAACAAAAACCAAGTCAGTGAATTTCTTAATGTCCAAGTATTCAGCAGCTCCTCAGCCTGCTCGTCTCCCTCTGCAGGGCCTGAGGCTGTGGAGGCCCAGTGTCAGAGACTGGAGGTGCGAAGCAGAGATGGAGGCCGGCTGCTGTTTACTGCAGATGAGGAGGAGGTCATCATGACAACAGAAAAATTCACCATCACAGGTAAAACTCTGTTTGCCTATTCACTTAATTTCATCCAGGCTGGTGATAGAGCAGTCGGTCGAGCTCTGGTACAGACAATACAACTGGCTCTGGTGGGATTTTGTGATATTAGATGATTGCACCATGAATTCAAAAGCTATTAAAAAGTATTAAATTTACACAGTCCTTGTGCTGACCATGGAGATTGTCAGGAAAGCAATCGAGATTTACTGGTGCATCAGCATGTTAAATGTAAATGGTCTTATATAGCGCTTTTCTGTGCAATGAGGCACACTTAATGCACTTTACACTATTTCCTATTCATGCACACAAGCATTCAAATACACTGATGGGGCAGCCACTAGGAGCAACTTGGGGTTCAGTGTCTTCGTAGCGACACATGGACTGGAGAAGCCATGATTTGAATCACCAACCCTCTGGAGAGTGACCCATTCTGCCTCCTGAGGTGCAGTTTCCCCAAGTGTGGATTTTCCCTGATACATAAAAAAGTGAAAATGAATTAAAACAAAAGTGTGGTGAGATTTTGTCCTTCTCCATGCATTTTGGTGGTTTGCTATTAACAGTAACTAGTAACTGTTTGTTTATGTATTTAAGGTACATGACACCTCTTCTCTGTTGTGTATTTACTTGTCTGGCATGATGAGGTCCAGCCCTTCTGGAAGAGAGAGGAGGGTCTTTTTCCTGATTATTTTGTCCATACTAGGGTTTGATTGACAGCTTTAACACCAGCCTAAACAAACTGAACCGAAAAGGCAAACATTTCAGAGTTTGTCTGAACGTAAAAGCACCCTAAGCTATTATTGATACTCAGTGCTGTAGACACACTGGCCTGTTCCAAAAGAGCACTGAGGCTTGACACCAAGCCTTGGTAAACACATCCTTGAATGTCTATGAATTATAAAAGTACATCTTATTGTCAGGCACAGAAGGCGCCGTGTTTGGACATTCAGTGGAAACTCCCCTGATCCAAGCGAGGGCGTCCGAAGACCTAAAGTAAGTTCATATTCGTTGACTTTACAGAAATTCATTAAAGCTTAATGTCACATGTTCATATCCTCTTCAGTTAAAATAAAGATCTTTAAATAATGATGATAAATGTTCCATAGCATTTCAAAGTTGATGACTGCGCCAAAAAAAAAGAGCAGGAACCATTATTCACATTAATCTCAGCCCCAGTGAGCATCCCCTGGTCATTTTGTTGTCACACAACTTTAAAACTAGGTTTGACCATTATATTAATTTCACACCCCAGGGGTGAACTAATTTGTTTATTATTCTCTATAGCAGCCAGGAACTGATTAAAGCATAGAGGGAGCAGAGAGAAAGTGGGTAGTGTAGAGATGTGAAGTAGACTCGTCCACTCCTGTGCTCCCTGCTGCGCTGCGCCTGAGGCTCTGAGCCCCATGTCAGTCCATTAACAAGCCATAACGAGTGCGGTTTGTTGTCCACCTTACTGGTCCTGAAGGGAGGGCTGGGATCAAAGTTGGCAGAAAAAGCAGTGTTCTGGCAGCTAATTCCTCCAGAGTGAGAGGAATACTGATGAGGCTCACTTTAAAGCAAACACACACACAGTCTTGGCTAAGAGGTGACCATCTGCAATGTGGTCAAAATCTTAACGAGAAGACAGCCGAACAGGAGCCAGTTGAAAACACGAAGGCAGCAACATGATGTTCGCTTCAACTGGATTCCCATTTTCTCCTATTTAAATCCACATTTAATCAAAGATATTCCATTTAAACTTTATCAAATTAATTAATTCTGTTTGTGTTGTTCAGTTTTAAAACATTCTGAATTTCATTTCTGCAGGCTGGCTTTTGAACAGAACTGGCTTTAGTCATTAACAGATTACCGAAATATTGTCAAACAAGCCGATGTACGAACTGTACAGAAGCAGAAAAGCATGGGCTGTTAATGACATGAATTCAAACCTATGTTGTTCTTTCATTTGTAAAGTGTATTTATAGACTAAATGGACAAAGCAAGCAAGCCACCGTTACTGCAGTAGCTTCTATATTGTCGTATTTTACAGGACAGTCTCCTTGTATAGCTGTTGTATTGAGTTATTGTATAGCTCTTGAAATATAGTAATCTTAATTCAGTTAAAACTGATATTAAAAGACAAAGCCTTCCAACAAAATGTCGTGCAGTTTAAATGAAGATCTAGATGTTTTTTCATCTGACAATAGAATTTGAGCTACTCTTCTCTCTAGGTCTACTTCTGTCTTTTTTGTTGTGTACAAAACAAGCGCAACACTACGAAAGCGAGGGATTGTCTGAATTGTGCACCACTATCCCCACATTTAGACTGCCCCCCCCTTTCTGTATCACTGCCGGCTTTTCCACCTCTGAGGGTGGCTGTTTGGAACAGCCACAAGCATTTTTGCTTGCTAACATGCTCGAACGCTTTGTATGAACCAGTTTGCTTCTCCCATGACACAGCCTTTAGACTGTGTCACCACAGTAAAGATGACATTGCTAGAGAGTGGCATACATGAATGTACAGTAGATACTAGTCTATACTCCTATTACATTTGATTTGACATAGACATAGAGTCACCATCATGGACCAGAGAATCAGCAGCACCTGTGATTCACTCAGGTTCCCTTCATAGAACCTTTTCATTATAACGCCAGACAGTAAATTACAAGCAGGAGTAGACTGCTGACTGATTACACGTGTAAATCGAATGTATGATCTGATAAAATGACATCATATTGTATAATTAGCATGACAGGACTAAAAATATTGACTCTCGCTAATGTGAAATGTCTTGGACTTTCACATCAGTGTAGCTCTGGCCTTAATATGTCCCCTTTACAATGTGACACTCACTACAGCTGATTCAAGGTTTAAAGATTACACATCTAAAGCAAAAATGTAGCTTTTCTTTGATTGCATTGGTTTTTTTTTTTGTTGTAATGCTTATATGTGTGGCTCTGGGATTTCTCCCAGAATTTCTCCCTCCACCTCTTTGAAAGTGTGACAAGTTAAATGCTCTTTGCACACCACTCACCACTTGTCAGGAACCCTCACCAGATGATGAAGATAAGGCTTCTTGGCTTGCGTCCATGTCGTTCTTCTTTTCCTCTTCAAAGTAAGATTGCTCTCTTTGTGTCGTTTTATTTCTCTGCGAGCCAACGGTAATCTAGAAGAGGAGAGACAAAATCAAAGACACCCACCTGAGATATTTATCCCCTTTGAAGCACCTGTTCTTGTCCCTGCGGGATTTATCTGTGTAGACATTTGTCTTCATTTGTCACCATTGTGCTGTTTCTGAATATTGAGTATAAACAGCTTAATGTATATATTTTACATTATTAGACAATGTCTTAAAGTTGACTTGTGCACTTCATTGTCCCTGCACTTTCAACTGTCATGTAGTGCGAAGTGACGGTGGTGTGTAAAGTAGCAGAACATGCAGACATGCAGTTATTGGACATGTAATTGTTTGGTCTATTAAACAATAATGACAACTAATGCACAGTTGGAGAGTCCACAGCCCAAGGTGTCATTTTGACATTCATTGTTAT